TGGATCATTATCAACTAATTATGTCACTTCGAGAATTTTGTCTTTATCATTGCAATAGTTTATAAATGCTGATGAGATTCCACAATTTCAATGTCTTTTCGAAATCATAATTTTTTGTTGTCTAGATATTGTGATTGAAAATTGGATCCTTCTTTTCGGGCACGCCACTGTGATCTATGAGCGTAAAACTGATGACCCGGCACAATAAGTTAGATAAATGCCGATATTATTAGTATATTGCTTCAAGATTTGAATTGCAAATTATCCATGTCTCAGTTGTTGTGTACATGTTTATAGAAATCATCGCTTTTACAACCATTTCAAAACACTGTCTGAAAATCTGAATAATAATTAAATAAATATTCTTTCATCCTCTGACACAATATTTAAAATTTAGCTTGCTTTTCAGTCAGTGTTTGAGTTAGTGTTGTGGGCTTGAGTGTATGTGATTTTGTTTTTCTGTATTATGGATACAGAAAAACAAACAATTCGTGAGTAAATCTTAACCACTATGAATTGTTTTGATCATCGAAAATTAATGCATGAAAACATTGAAAACCAAAATATGGAGTGTTCCATATTCCATTGTTCCATACCATTGATCGAATATCAGATTCGTTCGGATGGATAAAAATGCACAGGTTGATTCACATTATTCACTAAATTGATTTATATCATAAATATATTCGAAATTCGCATAAATTTCATCAAATTAAGCCAATCTGAATTCATTTTATAAACGGTTAACTGTTAGTGTTTGGCTTCACCCGAAACACGACTTCTCTCGAATAATATAAGATTCCGAATAACACAAGATGATCTAGCCATGTTATCGCCATCTAGTGGCAGCAGACCGAGAGCTGCTGATGAGACCTTGGGAGCCGAAACAGAGCCGACGATTGGGGCAACTCTATTCATCCTAGATCTCCTTTTAGTGAGATATAGTTATTTTAGTATAAGATTACTTCTTGAATCACCTTTTATGCCGTATGAAAAATGCGAACAGGGCTATACATACTCCTGTATATCTTCAGTGGTGAAAATTTTTCGTTATTCGGTTCGTTTCCATGCTAAAATTAAAAATTCCACCCTGATTCCATCATTAAACATAGGTCAGTTAATTTTTCTAAAAGATTATACATACATATTATGAGCTTTTGAACCTTATATTTTTTAAACAGTATTTTGATTGTTCACCAGATCGCGCTACTGAAACGTCAAAATTTTTAGAACTGATCGGTACTACAGTGTATATAATCAAGGGTATTTCTCGTTTCATTTGGCCTCTTCCTGGGATAAAGTTTCACATTGAGAATTAAAAACGCCAGACTGATAAGGTCTGAGGCCTCATCATTTTCTCAGAAACATTTTGAAGGCTATCCGACAGGATTTTGAGATTTTTGACTTCGACATGGACCTCGCGATCATCCATTGACATTTTTAACCTGTCAAAAGTTGAATGGTATCTTGTATCCGTGGCAACACGTTGTTGTTCCAAACCAAGCCAATCTGTAATCAACCAGGGATAACACATCACGGTCAAACAATCGAAACAATACCTATACAGGGTGGTCCGGTTTGTAATACAAAAAATGTAACAGTGTGTTGTACTCGTTGAAATAATACAAAATTGCCAACTACGAAATAGCCATTGATTTCGATTTAGCCAGGTCACGCTAGACACCTACAGACCGGTTTCGAGCTCTTTGACTCTCATCAGTGCAGGGCAGTCTCCAGCCAGCAGTCCTAAGACCGCCGACTAAGCGTAGCCTAGCCAATCAAAAATCGAGTCGGCATTATATTCCCCCAGAGGCGTCTTTCATAGACAATATGAAAGCAACGCCATCTGAGTAGAAAAGCTGGAAAGAAACACTCCAAAACTGAGTTTATATAAACATATACTATTGTACGCTTCGTTTTCGAGACATAGGGTGTTGAAAATACGTGTCTGAATCTTGTTTTTTGATGAAGAGTTCGGAACGGTTTGAGATAAATCAATGAAATCTCTCACAGATACTATTTTTTTACGCTTTATGAGATGTATTGAAAATTATTCCATTAAGTGATTCAGTGGCGGCTGAATCTGGGGGTGGTGGGGAGAAAAATCACCTCAAATTTTATATATTGTGTATTCAATTTTTCATTTTCGAGTACAAAATGTGAATACAGATAGATTTCTGCGTATAATAGTTCTGTTATATTTTTTAAATGCGTTACAACGTTTCCGAATTGAACCGAATTAACATTTCAATGAGAAATTCAAGCTGATAAAAAATAATAACTGGACATACACAATGAAACTTCAATTTTCCTTCACCACCCCCCGATTCAGCTGCCACTGAATTACTTCATGAAATAATTTTCATTTCCTCTTATAGAACGTGAACAATTTGGTATCTGTGAGAAATTTAGTTGATTTCTCTCAAACCGTTTCGAATTTTCCATCAAAAAACAATATTCAGATTCGTATTTTCAACAACCCCATATTTCCTAAACGACGCGTTTGAAAGTATAAGTTTACAAGAAATTTTCTGAATATTTCAACGAGTACAACGCACTATTAAATTTTTTGTATTACAAACCGGACCACCATGTAGAATAATTATGTTGTCCTGCTAATTACAGTAGTGATGTCGACAAATTTCCATGGCCGACTATGGCGTGTAGCGTCATTTCAATTAATATTGATCAATTGAAATCGGGTCCATCTGTTAGCTGATGGCTTCCGAGAGTACTATACAATATACATACAATGGAAGTTAATTGATGACGTATTGGAAAATTCAATCACTTAACCCTTTATCGCCTAAAATTATTTATTAGGATATATGTATGTTGTTTTTTGCATAAAAGTCAATACGTCATACACTAAGTCTTGTGATGCTTACTGGCATGAACATCATACCAGTATGTGAACGTCTGAAATAACAATAACCAGATATTTTCATTTAGAAATGTTTATTGAGGAATAATTATGAAAATATAGTATCCGTATGGTACAAAACATTCAATACACATGGCAACTTGATATATTATGCACTGAACACTACTAAACTTCTCTTTTGTTTACAACCTTAGTACATTACAAAGAATGCGAGATGTTGTTTTTCGGAAAGGTGACCTTTTGCATGAAATAGAAGAAATAGAATGTTACTTAGAGAATACACTGAATGATATGAATCGATTTGATGAAACAACAAAGAAAACTATAATGAATTAATTCCATATTTCTCCCAGTAATTCCGAGCTCATGAATATAATGGCTAGTACAATCAATGGAATACGGTTTGACATATACAAACATATAAAAACATATATGAATGAATTCATGAGCATAAGTCTCAAAACGGTTTTGTTATCATTTTTCAGAAATAGGATATTTGTCACAAATAATTTTCACATCACTGGAATTTATTCGTTTTTCACTATAATCCAATGCATTTCCATAACTAAATCAAGTGATAATGTAACTATACCAATATACCCACCAAATTATTTGACACACAGATGCATAAAATAATCTGAACAATTCAAAATATTGCGTGAAAGTTGATCCAAAAGAGAAATGATAATTTTTAATGAGTCACAAATGCCTGTTGGTAGCTTATTCGACCAGACAAAATAGCCTGAGTTTTACCCTCAATGTTCAATGGTACAATTAGTGTCTACCAGTGAGCGTTAAAGGGTTTTAAAGGGACTCTTGAACCTGCTAACGTTGAAATCTATTTCAGTGAGAAATTTTATTCTATCATTTTGAAGTTCTTACCTAAATTGACCATATTTTCATGCGTTGGATTGAAAATAAGAGCAAGTACAACTCTTGGATCCTTCGTCATTCAAGTAGATACCTATTTTCAAAAATTACAATGACTATTTCACTCATCACATAATACCACTCGTCCTGACGGACTCGTGGTGTTGCTCGGCAACAATTTTATGAACAACGAAGCGACAAAATAATCTCGAATGTTCAGAACATAGTGACATTACTTATGATAATTCGCCAGGAAAGATTAACAGTTCCTGCTATAGCATTAAACGAAGAAAACCTCGAAGAAAACAGTAGTTGGATGCAGTGAATCTGAAACTTGTCTGAAACTTCACAAATACGACATGACCTGAATTATTTCAATGTGAGTTTTATGAGTTCTAAACCCAGTTAGTTGGTCTTTGATTCCTCCTTTTAGCACTCAGAAAGTCGATGTTGTAGGAAAAAAAGTTACCATTTCACTGTTAACTTCGGGAAATTCACCAGATGACCTTTATTTTACGAAATACGCTCCTAGAAGGTTCATATGAATCGAGTATACTGAACAACAGAATGCACAACAAATTTAGGTCTTCTTATGGATTCCTTACTTAAGTATAACGATCATATTGATATATAATTATAAAACGGGGATATTGCAATTTGAAATCAATTTATTCCAATTGAAGTATTTTGAATGGGAATGTCTATACCGAAAAGCTGAAGAAGATTTCGAAAGGATCAAAACTTGGTTTGATTCGCGTCTCTTGACAATAAACTTCGAAAATACAAAATACGTCACATTCGCTTTCAAAACACCAAAGGACCAACCAACTCTCAAAATACCAAGAACAGACATTCAAATTGAAGCAACACAAAATATAAAGCATCTGGGTATTATAATTGATGGTAACCTGAAGTGGGATATATGTTTGAAAAAACTCACGCAAAAAATAAGAAGTTTATTGTCCTTATTTAAATATCTGTTACTTGATGTAAACCAACTCCTCGTATTATGCCTTGGTTGAATCGCAGTTGAGATATATGGGATCATTGCGTGGGGTGGGGCCTATGATAATCAAATAAAGTACTTGGTAATCATCCAAAAATGGATTCTCAAAATTATATTCTGGAAAAAATCCAGTCCAGTCCGTAGCATACATGAATTTTACTAACCTTTGTGAATAAGAAGTTTTTATCTGACGTAGAATTCATTCGGTTAGCCATTTAATAAATTCTGTTTATTTTCCAGCAAATCTATGGCAAGATGGCTGCTCTTGTCGAAAACCATCACGAGCACCGAAAATTGGAGATATTCCCAGGTAAGTGTCTAGTTGTTTCAATATATTCTGTAATCGGTATGTATTAATCAGTAATCTCTAATTAATTATTTTTATAATGAGATGGAGGACACCGTATCATATCCGAGTTGATATCTCACCTACAGTTCAGACCACCCCGTTTATTTTTTTAGATTATTTATAAATTGGCGATTTTCTGGCAAATTGAAATTAACTCAACCGAAATGATTCAGCCAGTATATCAAGCCCACATAGGTTTATTTTTCCATTGAATTCCCACGCTGATTTCAGCTGTGTTTATGGACTGCTCCATATGGCAACAATATGGAAAGTGATTGCAAACTTTTAATTAACTAGAAATGAAGATTCTCCTACTGATATAATCCATCGATAATTTTTTTTTTCATGTAATCTATGTTTGGTTTTGGTTTTGGATCAGTTCATAGAGGAGATATCGCAGATCAAGCGAAGATGGGGGAAATTAAATGAAAGGTTTGCTTCCTATATTGATTTGTTGTTGACAGTGGATATCCTATAAAAGTGAATGCAAGCAAACCAACTCTGAGCTAAATCCTCGGCTAAATCTTTTCAATTCTTTATACATAGTTACATTCAAGAAGACCGATCAGATGGTCTATGAATTGAGTCAGATTAATTATTTCATGGCTTCCTGTGATTGATTCTGTGACAATTACCTTACGAAAATCGTATTGTTTTTATGTTGTGGAATATTTTATTTCCAATTTGGTGTATCGTTCATCGATGAAGTTTTTCAGAAAGGAGTAGGGTTTTTGATGTGGTGGATTTCGTTATTGAAAATTTGTCGGTCAGATATTATGGACTTAGCTCAATGATGAAGTGATAGGTATTATTTTTCCGTCATCAGAAGGAACTTGTCAATGGTAATAAGATTTTTTAAAGCAATTCTATTAATTGGAATCAGTCGATAAAGTGTTAATGTGTTGACTCTTTTTTCTTTGGATTTTCGAAAAAACATTGATGATAGCTAAAACTAGGTCGAAACACATTCAAGCCACTTTGTATAATACATTCAGATTGAGAAAAGCTTTTAGAATATGTGAACACGTAATCAGGACCGCATTAAAAAAATGATGATGGTTCTACGAGTACAAAACGTTGCATGGAGAAATCAAAATAACCAAGATGAATCTGAAGTATTTCCAGTTGTTTTGTGACTCTAATAATAATAAAAAAAACATTCTGCGCAACCTTTGTCCCGCACTTCATCATTCACAGTCTGTATACATATATACTGCGGCTATACTTATATACAAGAAGGTATAGTTTATCCAAAAACAATTGCAGAATCTTGTGCCGCACCTGCAGTCATTTCAAAGGAAACTTCAAACACGCCGACGCCGCACAGTGCGGGATATTCTGCAATTGATATTGGATATGATATACTATAATAACAACTATCAACTATTCAATGTAATGAAAATCCAAAATATTCCATTGTAAAGTGTAAAAAAATGAGATACCGTTGACTTCTAAATTTGGGTAGGTATAGTAAAATTATAAATGTGAAAATGAAATGTATACTACTCTTCCCAAAATTGAAAGCAATTTTCGAAAATTTGATGTTACGATAAGGTTCATAATAAATTAAAATTCAATATAATCATTGTTAAAAGTATATTGAAAATTTAGAGGTGATAAGAGCGACGGGCGACTTGAACGAAATAAAAATCCGACAAAGAGAATTTTCATCTAAATTCCAATAAATTCAACGGGCTTTACCATTTATCAAGATGAGCTTGGTAATCCAATAAGACTTCCTCCCAAGAGGTTGAACGAAAGAAGGATTTTTCATATCGAAATTAATCCTATTATATTTTCAATTTGAGAAGGAATTCCCCAGTCTTCATACAGAACTATTATTACCTATATAATATCGCTAGGCTAGAACGATACGAGGACAACTTGAAAAATGTCGTTTTGAGAAATCTGATGGTTCAAAATAATGCTGAGGGAATACTCTACCTGGTGCATTTGTCAGTTATATCATTTTACCCATCACAAAAAAAATTCAAAATATAGGTACCTATGATTTTTTTTTGGATGTATGCTAAATTGATATTCATCATACAGGACGTGGAAAGAAATACTGAATTGAGAAAACCTAATCACGAATCTGCGATTGAGATCTATAAAAAATAACAAGTTTTCATCGTTCAAGTTTGAATCCCTTGTTTGGGTGAAAGTATTGAAAAGGAATATTCTCAGATATATTTATGCACACAAAAAAATGGATATATTATATATATAAAGAAATACATTGAGAAATCGCATTCTCCATGTGATGAAAATATTAATTCTTTCTCGGTTCATTCAACAGATATTCAACAGATATAATTTGATGTTCGACGTGGCAAATAGCCAGGAAAGTAGTTGAATCTTCAGAATGATTATATGCATATCTTTATATGAAAGAGAATGCAAATTCAATATTTCAGAAGATTTTGTTTTCAAATTCTTATCGTGTGTGTTCAATAGATGTAATTCAATATTCGTCGTGGCATATAGCCAGGAAAGTAGTTGTTTTCTGTTGATTAAACCGAGAAAAAATAAATATTTTCATCACATTGAGAATGTGATAATTCTCAATGTATTTCTTTATATGTATGTATCCATTTTTTTGTGTTCATAAATATATCTGAGAATATTCCTTTTCTATAGGTATGATGTCAAAAATAAGTTGGCATTCGCTGTCGTCAGGGTTGAAATTGGAAAAAAAAGTTGATGCCTGATACTTCTGATTTTCAAATTCGGATAATAAATATGGTTTGGGACGTTTTTTGTCAGTCAGCCGTATAGTTCGTTTCAAATTTCGATCATGTATCCCTAAACCTAAACTAAACTGTTACACCCGTATCATCATGTATCTTTCATAGAAGTTTATAAAATTTCCCACTAGAATAACCCGAGGCATTGAAGTGAGCGAATTCATTGTAGGTACATTGTATTTTTACAATCTCTCCACTCCATCAGTTATCAAACAAACTCATCTATACAGAGTTGCAGAACCAATCAGTTATGAAACGAATCGACAGAGGGTTTAATGTAAGTCATCAGCTCGAAAATCCGACTTTGATGTTTGCAATATACTAATTGAGTTTCACGTCTGACCTGCAACTGTGAGTAACAACTTCCCAGCCTCACAATTTCAGCTTTTCAATCATTTGGCGGAAAAGCAAATGGACGAATGATATGGATTGAAGCGTACAAAGGCGCTGAAGGACAACGTGAAAAAAACTGCATAGTTACAAGAGTTTTCTGTCAATTGGTCTAATTGCAAGATTATTCTTGTGATTGAAACATGATTACAAGGTTTGTCTCGAATTTTTTTTGTTCAGAATCATAATTGACAGATAAATCTTGTAATTATTATCTTGCGAGAGTAATTTAGCAATTAGTCGAGTTACAAGAACCATTTTGTAATTAATGAAACTGTCAATAAGGTCCTACCTAGCAACTTCAGACCGATCGCACTGCTACCTATTATTTCAAAGATCATGGAGCCTATCAACATCGAGCTCATGAAATACCTGGAACATTCAGGTATTATCAACGATAGGCAATATGGCTTCCGTCATCAGAGATCAACTGGTGACCTGCTCGCTTACGTCTAACATATATGGCAGTAATCTATTGAAAAATATGGTGAAACCTTAGCCGTGGCACTTGGTATCTACAAGGCATTCGATCGAGTCTGGCACCACAGTCTCCTCGCCAAGCTTCCATCTTATGGCTTGCCTCCCCAGCTATGTTCTCTGCAAGCTAGTTTTCTCTCAAACAGGTCTCTCCTCGGGTCTCTCCATGTAGTGGTCGACGGAGTTTCATCTGACTCTCTTTTCATAAATGCTGATGGTGTTCCGCAAGGATCAATTCTAGCACCACCACTATTTCTACTCCATATCAACGATTTGTTGGGAGCAACTTCATGTCCACGTCCAGTACACAGCTTCGCGGATGATAGTACCCTCCATACCGCCGCCTCTTCTAGGAGTCCAATACCAGCCAGGCAAATCAGAAATGAACGAGGAAGAAATGTTGACAACATAAATATGGACTTGGCAAAAATTCTCGAATGGGGATCCAATAATTTGGTAGATTACAATGCAAACAAAACACAAACATGTCTTTTCTCTAGAAAAGCTGATCTCACTGTACCCAACATAAGCTTGTCAGGAGTAACCATACCTTTGAAGACATCCATTTCGCTGCTTGGTATTACTATCAGCAATAAGCTTTCTTGGAAAAATCACGTGAGATCAATTGCTAAAAGTGCATCCCAAAAACTTGGTTTTCTGTTTCGGGCCATGAACTATTTCACTTCCAGTCAGAAACTTATAATCTATAAGGCACAGATCCGACCTGTCCTAGAATACTGTTCCCATATTTGGAGTGCACCACGCTGAAACTGTTGGATTCTGTTCAGAATAGGGCAATTCGTTTCGTGGGTGATGCCTCGCTCACAAATTCACTCACTTCTCTGGAACACCGTAAAAATGTTGGCGATCTGGCTCTATTTTATAGATCTTCTCATGGACGATGCTCTTCTGAAATCTCAACATTTGTTCCTCCCTTGGCAGTCCCCGCGAGATTAACCCGTCGAGTTGAGGCTTCGCACCCCTCGTGGTCTCTTTGGAGATCTGCAGAACATCTTAATATAATATAATGTTTATTTCGACAGAATCAGAATACATTGGAAGAAATTATGATATCAAGTTAACATCAGGTAAATAAACATTAGAAAACCCACAGAAGCAGCAAATGCTGCTTGTACGTGGTCAAAAAGTATAATAAATAAAGATTAACAATTTTGGAATATGAAACTAAGTACCTAGGTAAACAAAATTCTAGAGTGTACAATATTTATATACAAAATAATCAAAATGGATAGATATAAAAATAAATGGAATAATATATATATATATATATATAAAATTATTGACAATACTAACATTAATAATTTCGGAATCTAAATCTACGTACAC